CTTCAGTAAAGGTCCAGTGGAGGGGTCAGCCGGTCGAGGAGGCGACTTGGGAGACCGAGCAGGGCAGCCAGTACCCTCATCTTTTCACAGTTTCAGGTATGTCTTTATACTTGTTCGAGGATGAACGATTGTTTTAAGAGGGGGAGGATGTAACGATCCGGTCGGTCATTTTGAGAATTAAAGCCCCAATCCCCTAATATCTGCTTTTCCCATATTTTTTTCTACTTTTGGGACTTGCCGGAGTGATTGGTTATGGGATTCAGAGAGTTTTGGGACACTTAGTCCATAGTTGTGAGTTTAAGCCTTAAAGTTTGGACTGTAGTTGGAACTGTGTGAAGATGGATCCGTAATAGAATTTTGTTGACTTCGTTAGCTCCGTTGACTGATTTTGGGGTTAGGAGCACGTCCGGAATATGTTTTGGAGGTCTGTAGTAGATTTAGGCTTGAATTGGCAAATAGTTTTTCGGCGATTTCGGCCGATAGTGAAAATTTTGATATCGAGCTCGGAATGGAATTCTGAAAGTGGTTGTAGGCTCGTAGTGTCATTTGTGACCTGTGTGTAAATTTGAGGTCATTCGGACTAGATTTGATGTGGTTCGGCGTCATTTGTAGAATTTGGAAAATTTTAAATTCTTAGGCTTGAATCCGTGCTTAATTCATGATTTTGGTGTTGTTTGATGTGGTTTGAAGGCTCGACTAAGTTCGTATGGTATTTTAGGATTGGTTGGTATGCTTGGTTGAGGTCCCGAGGGCCTCGGGTGTGTTTCAGATGCTTAACGGGTGAAAGCTTGGACTTAGAGGAATTTTTGAGTTGCTGGTTTTGGTGTTTTCGCATCTGCGGTGGGGAGTTCGCAGGTGCGGCCTCGCAGAAGCGAGGCTGGGATCGCAGGTGCACTTTTAGGCCAAGGTGTCAGTGGTCGCAGATGCAACGAGTGAGCCGCAGGAGAGGAGCCGCATCTGCGGAAGGGCAGTCGCAGATGCGGAGGTGAGAAGGACCCAAGGTTCCGCAGAAGCGGACGATTCAGCGCAGAAGCGCATCCGCAGGTGCGGACTCAAGCGCGCAGGTGCGTACCCAGCCCGAATAATTTACCTTCGCACCTGCGTTGATTTTCCTGCAGATGCGGCCCCATGCACGCAGGTGCAGAAATCGCTGGGCAGAAAAGAGGATTTCGAGGGTTTGAAATTTCATAACACAAAATTCGATTTAGAGCTCGGTGGGAGACGATTTCTCGAGGGATTTTTAAGGAGAACTATTGGGTAACTAATTCTAACTATATTTTGATCATAATACATTAATCTATTGTTGTTTTCCTCGTCTAATTAAGGAAATTGAGGGTAGAAGTTTGGAAATAGGGGAAAAGGTTCCCCAATTGAAAATCTGATATTTGAATGGGAATTTGACGTCGGATTTAGATGATTTTTATTCGAGTGAACTCGTGAGTGAATGGGTGTTCATAATTTATAATTTTTACCCGATTCCGAGACATGGGCCCGGGGAGACGTTTTGGGCGTTTTTCCTAATTTCACGCTTTAGTTTCGAATTAATTAGCTAAATTAGTTACTTGTAGTTATATTTACATTATGAAATTAATCTAAATAGATTCGGGCCATTTGGAGTCGGATACTCGTGGCAAGAACGTGATATCGAGTTGATTTGAGCGGTTCGAGATAAGTGGCTTGCATAACCTTGTGTTGGGAACTTTTCCCTTAAGATGATTGATATTAATTGATGTGTGGGCGCCGTGTACGTACATGGGCTATTATTGCAAAAAAAATCTCATTTTTCCTTTCTAAATCATAAACTATTTTTCCTTATTAAATTGCACTAATACGTTTAATTGTTTAGCTTAGATTAGAGGAGCATGTTTACGTGTTTTAGCTGTCTATTTGACATTTTGTGCGCCATGCTTAGTTAAGTCCCTATTTTCCTTATCTGTGTTCAGTATAAACCGTATAACTCGATGCCATACATGCCATTTCATCTTGCGTTGCATATTTAAATTTGGACTACGGATGTATTCCGGGAGATCCCCCTGTCTTGCATATTTATTTTGGGACTACGGACATCTTCCGGGAGATCCCCCAGCATTGCATATTTACTTTGGGACTACGGACGTATTCCGGGAGATCCCCCAGCACTGCATATTTACTTTGGGACTACGGACGTATTCTGAGAGATTTTCCTGTACTGCATATTCATTTGGAACTACGGGACGGTATCCCGAGAGATTTTTCACTGTGTTTACCTTGTTCTGAGCCGAGGGCTCCCTTAACTGTTAAATTTTCGAGAATTTCTTTAACTGTGTTACCGTAAATTTTACTTATACCTTTTACTGTTTAATTTATTATATTTACTCCGGTAGGGCCTTGACCTGACCTCGTCACTTCTCGATCGAGATTAGGCTTGGCATTTACTGGGTGCCATTGTAGTGTACTCATGCCCTTCCCTGCACATATTTTTGTGTGAAGATCCAGGTGCGAGCTATCAGCCTCGGGGTTTGTGCGTGCTGCTAATTTTAGGAGACTTCAAGGTACTACTGCTTGCGTTCGCAGATCTTCGGAGTCCCCTTCTACTCCCTCGCCTAGAGGCTTTCTTTATTATCTTCAAACTTTTGTATAGAGCTACATAGATTATAGCAGCTTGTGACATAGTGATATTTCGGGTCTTGGAAAATTATTTTGTATATGCCGAGTGATACTACTCTTGGCTATTCACAATATGCTATTGATCTTTAAAAATATTGTGTTTTCTTTATATTATTTTTTGTAATATTAGACTTACCTAGTCGTAAAGACTAGGTACCATCAAGACACCTTACAGAGGGTTAATTTGGTTCGTCACAACAAGACAACAGACTAATTGCCTTTTTTTAGCAAGGGATTATCAAACAAGAACAAGGCATTATCTGTCTATGAAAGGGAGCTGTTGGCATTGGTTTTTGCTGTACAAAAGTGGAGTCCTTATCTACTAGGGAGACCATTTATCATCAAAACTGACCGCCACAGTCTTAAATACTTGTTGGAGCAGAGGATTACCACTCCCAGTCAACAAAAATGGCTGGTCAAATTACTTGACTATGATTATTCTATAGCCTACAAGAAGGGGAAGGAGAACATTGTAGCTGATGCCTTGTCCAGAAAAGAAGAGTCCATTCAGCTTTACAGCATCTCTGGTGTCAACTCAGATCTTTTAGACACAGTTAAAGCCACATGGAGGCAAGACCATGCACTTCAACATCTTATCCAATCCATACAGGATGAGCATGTCAACAAACTTGATTACAAATTCCAAAACGGGATCTTGAGTAGGAAGAACAAACTGATGGTAGGAGCTGATGCCACAATCAGAGCTCAACTTATCTCCTTTTACCATGATAGTCCTATGGGTGGCCACTCTAGCATTACAACCACCTTAAAAAGGCTTAAACAAGACTTCTATTGAAAGAAGATGAAGCAGGATGTTTATACTCATGTAAGAGCCTATGATGTTTGTCAAAAATGCAAAAGTGAAAATGTAGCCTATCCCGGTCTACTATAACTTCTCCATATACCTGATAAGGTGTGGCAAGACATCTCAATGGACTTTATTGAGGGCTTTCCTAAGGCTGCTAGGAAGGAGGTGATATTTGTGGTGGTTGATAGGTTGAGCAAAGCTGCCCATTTCATAGCCCTTAAACATCCTTATACTGCTTTGGATGTGGCTCAGGTGTTCATGGATCAGGTGTTCAGACTACATGGAATGCCCAAATCCATAGTGTCGGATAGAGATGTTGTCTTTACAAGCAAGTTTTGGAAAGAGTTATTTAGATTGCAGAAGGTTTCATTGCTGACTTCCACTGCATACCATCCTCAGACAGATGGTCAAACAGAGGTTGTTAACAGGTGTTTGGAATGCTACCTTAGATGCATGACATTTGAGAAGCCCAAAGCATGGCCACAGTGATTGCCTTTGGCTGAGTGGTGGTACAACACCGCTTATCATTCCAACACAAACATGACACCATATGAGGCAGTGTACTGTTAGAAACCACCTCCCTTACTTCCCTACATGAGTTTTGATTCCCAATTGGATGCGGTTGATAGAAGTCTCCAAGATAGAGAAGCTACTATGAGATTATTGAGGTTCCAACCGGAGAAAGCTCAAAATAGAATGAAGGTGCAAACTGATAAATGAAGGACTGACAGGACATATGCAATAGGAGATTGGGTCTATGTCAAGCTATAGCCCTACAGATAACTCTCTCTCACGCAGCATGGTGTTCAGAAACTATCATCCAAATATTTTAGGCCCTTCAAGATACTTGCTAGAGTGGGATCAGTAGCATACACCTTGGACCTCCCTGTTGGTACCAAGATCCATCCTACATTCCATATCTCACAGCTGAAAAAGAAGATAGGGTCTCACTCGGCCACAGTCACTTTGCCTATAGTACTTTCAGAAGCTGGTCATGTGCTGCTACAACCTGAGGCCATACTTGATAGATGGATGATTCAGAAGCATGGGAGAGTTGTATCCCAAGTTCTAGTCAAATGGTTTAATGCCGCACCTGAGGACAGTACATGGGAAGACTACCACGACCTTAAGCAGAGATTTCCTCATTTCAATCCTTAAGGACAAGGATTATTTGAAGATGAGGGTATTTGATACGATCCTAATGAAGCTCTTTCCAATTATAAAACACTCAGCTCAATTCAGTTGCATTAGTTGTTAGTTTGTTAGGTTAGTTACAACTCACGTGACTAGCACGCGCACAGGAATAAACGGAAAGGGGGAATCCAAAAAGTTAGTTATAACTAACTTTCCCACCCGTTCCTATATAGTGGATGTTTCCTCATTTTGTAAGATCTCATCAGATGATTTGAAATAAAGAATCTCTTTCTTCCCTCTCGTCTCTCTCTCACTTCATGTCTGTTTTTCAAAACTCAATTGAGTTCTTGTCGAGCAAGTTGTTCAAGGATAATTCTTCCGATTTGTCCTTTAGGTGAGCTCATTGTTCTTTCCTTTTCCTGTTAAAACTGTAGAGGTCGTAACAAAACCTTCTCGAAAAAACTAACCATCAAATTCCTAATTTGTAACAAAATTATCCTAACACAAACTACCAAGAATTTAATATCACAAGACACCTTTTTGAGAATAGAGCAAAGCCCATCAAAGATATTTCAAAAGCGCTACAAACTAGCCAAAAATCTAAACTTTCTAGAATTTTTAACAATCAAATCCCTAATTTATAAAAAAGCTATCCCCAACACTAACAATTAAGATTTTTATATCACAAGATACCCTTTTGAGAGTAGAGCAAAACCCACAAAGGATACCTCAAAAAGCACTACAAACAAGAAAAACAATAAACTTTCATGAGAAATAACCATCAAATCCCTAATTTCACAACAAAATTATCCTAACACTAACTATCAAGATTTTAACATCACAAGCAACCCTTTTAAGAGTAGAGCAAAACCCACAAAAGATACATCAAGACACCATTGGTAATAAAACTGTCCTAGCAGTAACACTAATTACCAGGATTTTAGCAAGAACAAAACCCATATAAATTCACATGTTCCACATACCCAAATAAAATTCCAACAAAAACCCAGTTCATATTAAATCAGAAATCACTCCAAACATGCAAAAAAACTAAAATTTTATTTAGTATTAACAATCAAATCCCTAGTTTTGTTACAACATTATCCTAAAACTAACTATCAAGATTTTAACATCACAAGATACCTTTTTAAGAGTAGAGCAAAACCCAAAAGAGATACCTACAAACATGCAACAAAAATAAAATTTCTAGCAAATTTAACCATCAAATCCCTAATTTGTAACAAAATCATGCTAACATTAACTATGAAGATTTTAATATCACAAGACACCCTTTTGAGAACAGAACAAACCCCACTTCATATTATATCAAAAAAAGAATTACTATAAAAATGCAAAAACATATCTTTCACGAAGATTTAAACATCAAAACCCTAATTTACCACAAAATTATCCTAATGGCCTGACCTCCACCTCTAATGGCCTGACCTCCACCTCTAGCTGCCAGACCCCTACCTCTAGCTGGCTGAGGGGGCGGTGAAGCAACCGGTGCCGGGACCATGGCACGAGAACCCTGCTGCTGTGAGTTGCCCGGTGCCCGAGGGCAAAATCTAGCAATGTGCCTCGGGTCACCACAAGTATAACAGGACCTCTGTTGTTGTGACTATTGACCCTGAAACTGACCCTGACGACTTGAGTAACCACTCTGAAAACTCTGGAGTAGTGGTGCACTAATAGAAGCTGGTGGTGCATGGTGGTGCATTGTAGGCTAGCTGGTCGGAATAAGACATATGAGGGTCGCGACCACCTGAAGCACTGCGGGATGCCTAGAGCACTGAGTGAAATGGCTTGGGAGGATGGCCTCTACCAAAAGTACCCCTGCCTCCAGACGAGGCACCACTGAACCCACAGAAATGATGAGGTCTCTTATTAGACCCCTGCCATCTCTCTTGTGTAAGAACTATCTCGATCCGCCTGGCGACATTAGCAGCCGTCTGAAAGGAAATCTCACCCCCAGTCTCCTTGGTCATCTGTAGCCTGATAGGGTGAGTGAGTCCATCAATAAACCTCCCCACCCTCTATCTCTCTCTCTCTCTCTCTCTCTATCTCTCTCTCTCTCTCTCAGTAGGAAGAAGAAGAAGAGCATGACGGGCTAGATCCACAAAACGGGTCTCATACTGAGTGACAGTCATACTGCCCTGCTGGAGATGCTCAAACTACCTGCGGTAATCCTCTCTCAGTGTGATAGGGAGGAACTTCTCTAGAAAGAGCTGAGAGAACTGGTCCCAAGTAAGAGCAGGCGACCTAGTTGGTCTGGTCGATACAAAATCCTCCCACCACCTTTTGACGGAACCTGTCATCTAAAACACAACAAAATCGACCCCATTGGTCTCAACTATACCCATATTCTGTAGCACCTCATGGCAGCGGTCAAGATAATCATGTGGTTCCTCAAATGGTGCACCACTGAAGTGAATTGGGAAGAGCTTTGTAAACTTTTCCAATCTTAGTAAGCCCTCAGAAGACATGGCGGGCCTATTACTGGCATGTGCCGCAGCAACCGGCTGAACTATCCCAGCTGGCGGGGCTGCTGGAGTTTGATACTGGGGAGCCATCTGCTCTGGAGTATGAGTAGCGGGAGTCTGTGCTCCTCCCCCATCCTGAGAGACGGCTGATTCCACAGGAAATGTACCGGCTTGGGCCACACTCTCCATAAGGCCTACCAAACGGATTAGGTCGTCCTGAAGCACTGGGGTGGCGATGAAACCCTGCAGGACCCGAGCTGGTCCAACAGGTACAGTTTGAGATGGAACCTCCTCATTAAAGTCCATCTGAGGCTCCACTGCTGGTGTTGCTGCTCGAGCTCTAGGATGAGCTCTGCCTCTGGCGCGACCTTGGCCTCATCCTCTGCCCTAGCAGGAGTTGCCACTGGGGGCTCCGGTTGCTGTCCAGCTAAAGATGCAATACATTTTCTCTCCATCTGTGAGAGAACAAGAGTAGAAGAGTTCGATTATCAATGGGAGAATAAAATCGCACGACAGAGAAGAATATAAGTGAAATTTATTCCTAAACTCCATAGCCTCTAGAAGACAAGTGCAGACGTCTCTGTACCGATCCTCCAGACTCTACTAAGCTTGCTCGTGACTTGTGAGACCTAGGCAACCTAGTTCTCTGATACCAACTTGTCACGACCCAGAATTTTTACCTTCGGAACCATGATAGTGCCTAACATTTCACTTGCTAGGAAAGCCAACGTTAGAGTAATTTCTTTTGCCAATCTTTAAACACTTCGAACAATGTAACCAATTAAATAGAAAAGGAACTAAAATGAAGAACAAGTATAACCCAATCATCTAGTACAACCCGGATATGGAGTCACAAGTACATGAGCTTCTAGAGGTTCTACATATAGGGTCTGAAATAAATATAATTGTCTCGAATGAGATGAACAGTAAATAAGGAAAGAGGAAAGGGGACTACAAGGTCTGCGGACGCCAGCAGATCTATCTCGAGTCTCCAACTAAGCTAATCTGAGCTAATGCGCCTTACGGACAGCTGGGACCAGTACCAAAATCTGCACAAGAAGTGCAGAGTATAGTATGAGTACAATCGACCCAATGTACTCCGTAAGTGTCGAGCTTAACCTCGACGAGGTAGTGACGAGGCTATGACAGGACACCCACGTAATTAAACCTATGCAGACGAAAATATACGTACAACATAACAATAATTGAAGGCTAAACATGTACTATTGGGAGGGGACATGCGAAAGGGGTACAAGATACGGTAACTACAACAGGAAATGACAACATGAAACAGTCAATAAACTTCAGTCAATGAAACGGATAAACATAATGAATAAAAACTGCACAGCATCACCATTCATGATTTTACTTTCAACCTCACCATGAAACAGCAATAATGGCACGGCATCACCCTTCGTGCTTTTACTCTCAATCTCTCCATAAAATGATAAATACGGCACGGCATCACCCTTCGTACTTTTACTCTCAATTTTATCATGAAACAATAAATACGGCATGGCATCACCCTTCGTGCTTTAGCTCTCTTCCTTACTAAGTATTAATTAATAATTGCAACAATAATCGGCACGTCATAACCCTTCGTGCTTTTAACACTCTCCCTTACCATGTAACAATGAACATATAACAATTTGGGAGATAGAATAAGCAAGAATAAACCTTATGTCAACAACGGTTCCACAATACCAACCTCAACTTCAAAAACAATGCTCAACTATCACAATAGCCCATAAATGCGGAAGGAATGATTAATTTAGTAATAAACTAGTCTAAGCATAGATGTCATGATCAAATAACGAAGTAAATTACAAGAAACAAGTCCCACCCGCATGCATTAACCCAACAACAACGCTTAAGTACTCATCACCTCATATATACATTGTACCAACCATTTAAGCATGTAACAAATAATCAAACAAAGTCCTAATCCCTCAAGTCAAGGTTAACCACGATACTTACCTCGCTCCAAAAATTAACTCAAAGCTCAACCACGGCTTTGCCTTTCGAACAAGCCTCCGAATCAACCAAATCTAGCAAATTATCAACCAAACGATTCAAAATAAGCCTTAGGAACTACCCACAAACGAAAAGGGTTCAATTTAGGTCATTATTGAAAAAGTCAACTCCCTGGCATGCTTGGTCCAAACCCAAAATTCTGACCAAAATCCGATTATCCATTCACCCCCTAGCCCGGTTTATGTAATTTGTTTCGAAGTCTGACCTCAATTTGAGGTCTAAATTCTAATTTTACAAAAATCCCTAATTATAACCAAATCCCCAATTTTTACCATGAAAATCCTAGATTTTAGGTTAAAATCTTATGAAATGTAATGGGTAATTGAAAGAAAGTATGTTAGAATCACTTACCAACAAATTGAGAAAAAAGATCTCTTGGAAAAATCGCCCCAAAGGTTTTTAGGTTTGAAAATTTGAGAGAATGAACTAAAATCCTATTTTTCCCATCTTAAGTTCAGGCACAGATGTCGCAATTGCGACCTAGGGTTCGCAATTGCGATCTAGGGT